TGTTAGGAGCACCGAAGTTGGAGATTTTTCCCTCATGGGGATGGGGATGGAGGGAAAAGTTCCTCTGATGACACTTTGGGGCAGGGATTTGGAATATACCCTCTGCCCCATGGATTCCCGACTCCGACCATATTATTTAAATTTTATATTTTATATATTATTTAATATATAATAATATAAATTTACATAAAAAATATTAATATATTAGAATATGAAGAGTCATTAGTGGATCATTTTATTTTTATGCTTTATTGTATAATGTATTGTTTCACTATTCAAGTATCCAACCCTAAAAAAGTGCATCCAATACATAGAATGTACACACTGTCTCTTCTTTTTCTTTTATCAGTCATCTTTGTCTCCTTCATTCATCATATCCTATTTTCTCATCATCATAACAACCACTCTCCTCGGTTCATTGTGCTTATGATAATTACTCTTCAAATTCACTTTACTTCCATTAGTAACATGTTTTTCATTCAATTAATAAATTAGTAGTTATGGATTTACCACACTCACACATAATCAATCACTTGTGTTGGACAACGGCGATACTATGGTAGTAAGTTAGCGGAAGCATGGTAGCAACAAGTTTTGTTAATATTTATTAATTTTTTATAGAAAAATACTAGTTATCTTTAGTTATTTATGCAAGATGTATTTTTATTTTTTAAAAAAAGAAAGATGCTAAACATAGGTAATTTTTTTAATAAAGTAAAAATAACGAAATACTAGTGTCATAGTTTTGATCAAAAAGTATAGAAATTTTTTTAAGATTCGATCTCCGTGGATCTTTGTGGGATGGGGATGGGGGAAAATATTCCCCCGTGCCGGGGATTAGGGACGGGGATGGGGGATAAATTTAGGGGTGGGATGGGGAGTGGAGAAGCATCCTCCAAACGTTCCCTGCCCGTTGACATCCCTAGTTGACGCTGATGCATGATGTGCTTCTTTGTATTTTCTCTTTGTTTTGGTTCTTTGGTTTTGTAAGGGTTAAATTCTCAGACATATTTTAGCACCTTGTGTGCACGTTGTGCTACTTTTGTTTATGTGTTACTGTGGTTCTTTTGGATGATATACTTACCTTTGTCATATTCTGGCTAAAAAGGGGGAGTAGTATAATCACTAACCACTAACTGATTACATGTGCTATTGAGGGGGAGAATTTTTATTCTGTTGATCCTTTGTTGCTCCTATTGAGGGGGAGAAACTTCTGATTCTCTGAGGTGTTACTTATTAGTTTTGAGGGAGATAATTTGTTCTGGTTTGGACTGGCATGAAGAGATGTCAGACATGATGTCCTATCATAAATCTGACTGACTGAGAATTTTTTTCTCAATGTTGTTGTGTTTGTTGATTCCATTAACTAACACTCTAATATTTATTATTGCTGCTAATACCTCTAATTGTATGATTTTTCTATTGAAACCTTATAATGTTGTGCTTCTGATGTGTGTGTTTGATTTATTTTTAAACCTTTGTTTTTTTCCTGGAATCTGAATTATGGATTATTTATTTGTTTTAGTCAAAATTTGCCAAAGGGGGAGATGGTTAATTCTCTATTTTATGATTGACATTAATTTTGGTAAAACTAATGTGGAAGCAACATGTTAAATAGGATGTTCTAACTTGCAGAGGAAAAATGTTGAATAAGATGTCATATCCAGATGATTCGACATCTTGTTTGTTACAGTTGTACACTTGGATGTATTTAGTTATAACATATCTTGAATATTCTAAGAATATTAGGTTAGTATATATGGCGCCCAAGACCGAGGAATCAAAGATTATATTTGAATTTAGAAGATTAATTTATTTTCCTAAATGTTGAGACATTTTAGAAAACATATGATTGATGTCCTATTTTTATGCAGAATATTTTGCAAATCTTTAGCAGCTCCTCTACTGCGTTTTTGAAGCCCAAATCCAGTCCAGCCATTGCATATAAAAAGAAGGTTACAAACCTAATATAATGTGTGGAACGTATTTTATCTTTTAGTGAGATTTTAGGGTTTGTGTTCTTGTTAATTGTGAGCCTCTCTGATATCATCTCGATATAAGAGAAAAACGGTCTCTATTGAGTTGTAAGTTCTGCCAATCATTCTTAAGCTTTTAAGCATTGAATAATTTTGTGTCATTGAAGAGTGTCTTTTTAAAATTTCTAAGTATTTGTGTTTTTCATCAGTGTTGTGATTGAAAGGGATTTGAGAAGGGTTTCAAACCTAGGTGAGTCTTAGGTAGAAGTTAAGCACGTGTAGTGATTATGTGGGTAGATTGTAAACTGGTGCTAGTTTGATGTGGGTCTACAAACTGATACTATTTATTGATCTTCCTCTCTAGCTTGGTAGCCCCTAGAGTAGGTGTTGTTGTACAATGAACTGGATTAACAACTCTGCGTGTTTATTTAGTTTCAATACTCTTAATTGTATTTATCTTGTCATTGTGTTTTGATCAGATATCAGTGTCTCGACATCTCTTAGGGCATCTGATATCTCCATGCCAGAATTTATAGAAAGATTCACAAGCTTCTTCAACCTAAATAAGAATGGTTCCTAAGTGTGCTCCGGTACTCTGGCCTTGTCAGTCTGTGTTCTTTCGAGTACAACATCATCAACCATGACATGCAGAAGGAATTTACTAAGAGATGGCATAAAGAAACGTCATTTTTACACTTCCTTATTGGTGTAAAGATGGTTACATTAGATGATGTCTCTTACCTCCTACACCTTCTCATCAGAGGGAAGTTACTAGATCATTCTAGGGTCACCAGAGGTGAGGCAGTGGTTATGATGATTATTTATTTAGGAGTTGAACCAATAGAAGCCCTGATGCAGTGTGAGAACATCAGGGGTGCACATGCCAAATTTTCTTGGTTGGAGACGTTGTATAAAAACAACTTGGAGTTGGTTGATGATCTCGACGACAATGATCTACAAGTTTTCTACCCCATGGAATATGCATTGAGGTGTTACTTTCTATTCTTGGTTAACACGTCCATGTTTGTGGACAAAAGTGCAACCTATATTGATGTGGTATACCTTAAGTATTTCATCAACTTGACGATCATTTACAAGTGGAACTGGGGCGCCGCATGCTTGGTATACCTGTACTTCAAGCTGAGCGGAGGTTCTCTTTAGAGGACAAAGCAAATGACAGACTCCTGCATACTGTAGACGCTAATTTCCATAGTCAATATTAATTTTAAAACAACTTTTTTACACTTGTTACTAATACTTTTTTCTTATTCATTTTCAAGGATGGGTCCTTGCCCACTTTAACCGTATACACAAGTTTGAGCATATGCGATCGTACACTGAGGATTACCCACGTGCTTGTCTGGTCGCCCCCGCAGAGGAAATGATATTGTGGTATCTTTCGTGTGTATATTGACCGGACTCAATATGATGACATCGATTGGATGCCATACACTTCTCACTGGGAGAGAATTTCAATCGGTCTCATTTCATTATACTCCGGCTGGCAGGCATGTGTGAGTAGTATCATATGCAGGTATTTTCTAGAGCAGTGTATGCGACAATTTGGATACTTGTAAATTATTCGGAGGCCCCCCTTTGAGGTTGCTCCTAAGAGCATTGTTCGCAGACACCTGGATGCCATTTTGGTAGATTTTAAGAGCCATCTGATACCGGAGGAGTATCGGAGAGGGCAAGCCACATCTGAGTTGCATTATGTTGAGGTTTACATGACTTGGTTCTATTTTGTGTCACATGTTGTAATGACACCAGATGCTCCTAGGCGTCCATCTAGGCTGCTCATGAGAAGATCTTGGAGAATGAGTATGTTACTGATGAACATGCCATTGATTTTTTGTCGGTGTCAGAATATTATGCGAATTATACATGAGGACAGTCTAGACTGTTTGAGAGAAGTGGTGATGACACATTTATCGTAGCACGTTTCATTCTTACTGAGGTAGAAAATGTCTTGGGTTATAGTCGACAGAGGAGGAGATAGAGGGTTAAGATTAGGTATACACAGTAGATTAAGCATTTGGTTGTATTTTGAAATATTTTGGTATTTTTCCAGATTTTAAGAACAATTTTTGTACTATGATTGTATTTTTCAAATTAACGCATTACTCTGTTCTATTATATTCGTGTTTATTAATCTTTGAATCAAATAATAACAATGTTAATAGAATTAAGATGACTTTGGATTCAAAAAACTACAAACTTAGGACAACGTTTCTGCACAAAAAACATGCAGAAACAATTTCAGATGTATCTTCAAATTTACCCCAAAAATATTCACAGATGCATTTTCAAACTATTTTTTTGCCGAAATTAAATGACTGCTTGATTACGAAGAAAGAAAGGTGATTTCGGAGATCTATCTGTGAATTTAGCTTTAAAAAAATTCACAGTTGCATCTTCAAATTAAATTTTGACAAAAAATAAAATTTAATACATTCGAAGATGTATCTCCAAAAAAATCCAAAAATATTTTAAGATTCCATCATAAAGATGGGAAAAAAATACTAAAAGATGATAGACCCATTAGATAAAATACTCAGGATAATGGGCTGCATGGAAATTTCTAGATACCCAGCAATTAAGGGTGCAACACAATGAAAAGGAAAGATAATACGTCTTTAACCACTATAAAATATTAATTTTGATTTTAGTGTCTGAATTTTTCTAGTCCTCAACTTTTTATTAAAATGGATGCTTTTAGCCCATCATTTTATAAAAAAGAGTGCATTTTAGTCTCTAATGTATTATATAAAAGTATGCATTGAAACTGAAAGTGGACTATACTTTTACAGGGTAAACTTGTAAGAACCTTAAGTTTATAGAAATTAAAGTTACATTTAACAATCTCTAACTAGTTAATACTAAAAACTGAAAATTCCGACATTGACGTAAACTAACCAATGTGTGTAAAAAAAGGATGTGACAGAAAATACGGAAAATAGAACTTTGAACGAAGCATATAATTGATAAGAATCCTCCAAGAGAACAAGACTTCCATATATCAGAATGTCTACTACAGTGTACGTAGAAAATTTAAGAAAAGGAAACAGAAGCAATGAGTGGATTAAAGTTATTGAGATGATTCATCCGATCAGAAAGAACCTAGAAACACTCATCCATGGAACTTATTATTCTGCCCTCCTTTCAAGGGCCACCAAAAAAATATTGAATAGAGTTTTGATTTCAATCTCACGTTTCACGTTTCAAAAATAAAGGAAAACTTCAAGGTTTGAGATCAATGGCCAAACCAAACTTGGGATTTTTATCCAGGGCCTTGGTATCAACCTCACCAGAAATAGTCAGCACTGACTTAGGGAAAATCTCGTGCTGAAGCAGGCCTCCAACTTTTCCATAATTGTTGAACCTTACTTTGGCCTGTGTCAGAGGGTCAATAGCAAAAGACCCGCCAACCGTAATAGTATTCTGATTTGCTGAGAACCTTCTGGTGATATCCACAACAGCAGCGCTCTTCTTGAGTTGGTCTAGATGGTGGAGGTAAGATACTTTAATGCTGTCACCCTTGTCACCACTGATAGGAAATAACATGTTCAATTTCAATTTGACGCTCATGAGCTATTGCAAGAGATTTGTAACAGAAATCTGGGTAAAACAAGAATCTTACATGATTACTGATGCAGATGAATCGGATTTTGTGAAACTAATCCCAGTGTTGTATTTAGTAAATTGACCGGATTTAGTATCATAGCCTGCCTCAGCACCAAATGCAGCGGTTGGGGTACCGAAAGTGGCAGAAACATCAAGGATAGGGGATTGCTTCAGTGTAGCGACTGAGGTTATGGTAGCATGGTCATGGAAGTATTGAAGCTCTAACTGTCAAAGACAAATTAGACAAATTTTCAGAAACAGTGCAGATCAGTCCAGTCATTTATCATAAAGTAGAGGTATAACTATGTACCTTGCCAGAATTATAATCAGGCAGCTTAAATGAAACTTTAGTCTTCGTGGATGGAAAAAGGTCGGTGAATGTGAGGGTCGTGTTGATCTGAAAAAGATATAACCAAATAAGAGGATTTACTTAAGAGTGTATAACATCATTATAATCTAAAAAGACAAAGTAACCCACAGTTGATGCTGTGTCAAGTTTGACATCAATAAGGGTGTTCTTATACTTGTACAATGCTGCCACATCTCCAGTTGAGAGTCCTCCTTTCTTCAGAGCAGTTGAAGTGAGGGCCTGAAAGGGAAAAAAAAAAGGAAGAAGCCATTATTGAAGTGAATGTTAGACATGCTTTGATCCAAGCAAATGATCTTAAGTGACCATCGTAACCGTCATGCATGCTTAGTATTACAAAAGCACGATGATAACCAGAAAAACATAATAACCAGACAATAATTTAAAAAGAGCATATAATTTCAAGACACGGACAGCTTGGAGGGAATCAGGAAAAATAATATTGTTATAAGATAACCACCCTCTGAAAAATAAATAAAACTGTAAACAGCTGCCACTTAGACGCAAAACATCAGCTTAAACATGAATTCACAGCAATACTACATTAAGAATGAACAATTCATGCGTTGTAGGTTGTAGTTGATCATGGAAAGCCAGCAAGCACTTATTGCTTAATAATAAAACGTAAGAAAAGAATAACGGTATAAAAAGTGAACTTAAAAGTAATTGCCTTCAGAACAACGAAGCTGAAAAGCCTTCAATGCTATTAACATGTATCCATTATCCCCAAAATTTTAGCCTGTAAGTAGCATGCAGTATGCGACATGTGTGTGAGGAACTGTGGATATGTATAACAGCAATCAACCATTAATTGATGATAAAAAGTAAGGGATCACAGTAAAATAAAAAAAAGAACTTAACATCAATTGCCTTCAGAAGAACCACGCTGAAAAAGCTTTAGTTTATCAACATGTATCAATTATCTCCATTTTTTGGGGTGATAAACATGCAGTATACATTATGTAAGGAGAAATTCGAAAAGGAACTATGGAAATGTATAACAGAAACACTAATCATTTTGTGATTCAACAGTATTGAGTTGCCCATTCAAAAGTGTTAGAAAACTAGATCTGCATAAATCTTGCAGAGAGATTCATTTGCTTTTCAATGTAATCTTTCTTTCATTTTCTGTTATTATGAATTTACACTATTGCAGATACAGTTGGACTCTTATCTAAAACAGTTAGGAAACAGTTGGGGCTGGAGATTGCTACTGTGCATTTGGTGCACAGCAGGTACAATGGGCTTTTTATTACAATTCTAATGCCTACCTTTAATAAAAAGGATTCCAATATTTATAAATTCAACATAAACTTCTTATTGGAGAAATCAATTGATCATCAGTGCACCTTTTATCAGCCTTGCATTAGTATTATTAGTTAACAGAGTATTGAATTATGCCCTGCCCTCTACACATTTCTCACCTCACCTTATCACATTGGTCAATTTTGCATTTTCTAAGTCTTAATTATGTTCTTTCGACTACATGCTTACAAATAAAATTTCAACAACCAAACAATTTCTCTCAACCTCTGTTCTACATTTGGCCTTTCTTTTGGGATTTTTCTTATGCAATGAGTCGGTAATTCAAATACCAGATGATTAATCGGTAAAGCTGCACAACTAGTTACCAACAAACTGCTACGTCTAGTATCACGCTAGATCCCAGCTAGAAATTGAGAAACCTAACATCGAATAATGTAATTAACATGTGTAATTATAATGGAAATTTGAAGAGCTTACCACTCCGGTGGTGCTGTAAGATTTAACGGTGAGTTTCTGATCGGAGTTGTAGTCCTTTGTCAAAAGATCTAAGAGCAAAAACAAATCAAAATGATTTCGGGTTCTAGAAAAGTGTTATCGAATCAATAACAGAGATTGTGAGAGATAGAGCGAAGAACAACAGTTTCACCTTTGGCTAACTTTCCGATATCGGAGTAGAGACCCGGTCCCTTTCCCATCGTCGATTCGAGAGAGAGAGAGAGAGAGAGAGAGTTTGTGTTAGAGAGAGAAAGAGAGAGATCTTGATGCAGTGTGCTTCACGAAACAGTGTGTGGCGAGGTAAATGGGAGATTTTCTTTTTATTATTTTTACAATTTAATTTATATTTTAAATGTTTAAAAAAGAGGATGAAATGAAGGGTAGTGTTTTTCCGATTGGAATGTGGGTCCAAACCATGCGTTTTTAGCCGTTGATTGTTTGAAAGAATATGATACGTGGGTTGATACTCTTTGCTGTTTGATGCCATGGTCGTGACCCGTGATTCTCTACAAACGCGATTGAATGCTAATTGCATTTTATATGCTACAACTTTAAGTTTTGGTCTAAAATAAAACTTTGAAAGTGAAAACTCTGATGAAAAAATCTTAAAAGCGGATCACTCAAGTGATAATGTCGCTGAATATCAAAACGAAGATAATAAGTTGGAGACTAACTCAATTTTAGAAGATGAAACATATGATCCTAATTCTACCTTTGTTGGTCATATGTGGGCGTTAATTTTTTTTTCTCTCTTTACAACGGTCACATACTCTATCAAATACTTAATTACCGTCTAATCACTTTTTTATTTTTATTGTAATCATGCCTGTTGGAATGGAAGGAGAGATAAAGAATGAACAATGAATGATAACAAAGAGGATTACTTCTTAATATTCAAATAGAGAAATGAATTTGGGATACAATATTGATAGCCTAGGTAGCATATTTATACTAGAAATTGAAAATGCCAAAAGGCTCTAATAAAGAGTAAGTATTGGGAATTGTGGACATTAAATAAATTATATTTCCAATACCATCCCTTAATTTAGATAATCTATCAGAAGCTAACAACACCAATTTCATCTCTTAAGCAAAGAAATTGATATGTTTTAACTGCCTTCGTCAGAAGATCTGCAAGCTGTTTCTGAGTGCTACAGTGCAGAACTTCTAACACTCCTTTCTGAACTTGATTTATGAGAAAGTGATACTTCGTCTCAATGTGCTTGCTTCTTCCATGTAGCACTGGATTCTTGGCAAGATCAATTGCAGACTTATTATCAATCATCAGCTTCAGAGGTTCCTCAACCTCAACCTTTAAATCATGCAGGAGATTCAGAAGCCAAACTGCTTGACAAGCAGCTACAACACCTGCGATATACTCAGCTTCATATGTTGACAGAGCTACAACAGGCTGTTTCTTGGAACTCCAGGAAATGGGACCTCCCAAAAATTTAAACAAGTATCCAGAGGTACTTCTCCTGTCCACTCTGTCTCCGCACCAGTCAGAATCAGAATAACTTACTAACTCTGACTTTGTCTTTCTTTCAGAAGGAAACAACACTCCATATCTCAGAGTTCCCTTAATATATCTCAGAATTCTGACAGCAGCTTGGAAATGAGACCACTTGGGATTACTCATGAATCTGCTAACCAATCCAACTGCATAACAAATGTCAGGTCTAGTATTACATAAATACCTTAGAGAGCCAACCAGCTGTTTGAAGGTTGTAGAATCAACAGAATCACCATCAGAGTCAGAATCTAATTTTTGATTGGTTTCTGATGGTGTCACAGCAACTTTGCAGTTCTGCAGCTTAAATCTCTTCAGAAGTTCTTGTTCATATTTTAACTGGTGCAGAATGATACCCTTCTTCGAGTACATAATCTTCATTCCTAGGAAATATGTCATTTTTCCTAGATATGTCATCTCGAACTCATTCATCAGAACTTACTTGAACTTCTTTATATCTTCTGGGCAGCTACCTGTTAGCAAGATGTCATCAACATAGAGACACACCAGAATCATATTGCTATCAGAGTGTTGTACATAAACTCCATATTCCATCTCACACTTCTGAAACCTCTGCTTCTTGAAAAATGAATCAATTTTCAAATTCCAAGCTCTAGGCGCTTGCTTCAGTCCATACAGAGCCTTATTTAACTTGTATACCATCCCTTCCTAATTCTTTTTCACAAATTCAGGAGGTTGTGACACGTAAACTTCTTCCTGTAATGGACCGTTCAGAAATGCTGACTTCACATCCAGGTGCATTAAAGGCCAGTTTCTGTTTGCAGCTAAAGCAATCACCAGTCTAATTGTTTCATGCCTAGCTACAGGTGCAAACACCTCAAAATAATCTAGCCCAGGTTTCTGAAGAAAAACTCTAGCTACTAGTCTAGCTTTGTGCTTGCCAATGGAACCATCTGGCTTAAGTTTCAACTTAAAAACCCATCTGACGCTGATGGCTTTTTTCTTATCTGGAAGTTTAGTCAATTTCCAAGTTTTGTTCCTTTCTATTTCCTCAAGTTCTTCTTTCATGGCATTAAGCCATTCTTTCTTCTTGAGAGCTTCTTCAATGCCCACTGGTTCAGAATCTACTAACATGGCACAATGGACGACTTCTCCTTTAGAGTCAACGTCATTATCCTGCAGCATGTCAAAATCTGCAAACCTTCTGGGTTTTTGTCTGATTCTCTGTGGTCTTTGAGCTTGTTCTGAAGCTGCACCAGAACTACTACTTTCAGAGTTACCACCTTCAGAGTTTTCCCTTCCAGAACTATGATTACCACCAGATTTTGGATCATCATTAGTATTTGGATCATCTTCTAACTCATCTTCAGAATCTTCAGGATCTTCAGAGTCAGATTCATCTTCTGATCTTTCTAAAACATCTTCAGAGGATAACTCTGGTGTTGGCACTACACCAGAATCATATTGAGATTTGTTCCAATCCCATGCTTCAGACTCTTTCACCACAACGTCTCTGCTGACTTCAACTTTATTAGTTTTTGGACAATAAAGCTTATACGCACCTGTACTGTGGTACCCCACCAGTAACATTATTTTGCTTCTATCATCCAGTTTTTGTCTTCTAGCTTCTGGAACGTGTTTGTAACTGACAGAGCCAAACACCTTCAGATGACTGACACTCTGCTTATCTCCAGTCCATTTCTCTAAAGGAACAACTTCCTTCATTTTCTTCGTTGGACACCTGTTCAGAATGTATGCTGATGTGGCAACAGCTTCTCCCCATAGCACGTGAGGTAGCTTTTTCTCTTTCAGCATGCTTCTGGTCATATCAAGCAGAGTTCTGTTTCTTCTTTCAGCAAGACCGTTGTGCTGAGGAGTATATGGAGCAGTAACCTCATGTTCTATTCCATTTTCCTCACAAAACTTCTGAAACACAGTAGAGTTATACTCACCTCCACCATCTGTTCTCAGAATTTTTAACTTCTGACCACTCTGCTTCTCAGCCTTCACCTTGAATTTCTGGAACTCAGTAAACACTTCATGCTTTAATTTGATAAGTGTTACCCATGTCATTCTTGTGAACTCATCCACAAAGGACACAAAGTAATTGTTTCCTCCAAGTGAAGGTACTAGAAATGGTCCACACACATCAGAATGTACTACTCCCAGAGCATGTTTCGCTCTGGGGGCTACTTCTGATGTAAATGGCAATCTAGGTTGCTTACCTTTCATGCATATCTCACATGACTTCTCAGGCTTCGCAATTTTCGAAATACCACGTACGAGCTTCTTAGAACATAGATGCCCTAAGCTTCTATAGTTTAAGTGACCTAACCTCTTATGCCACAACTTACTGTTACTTTCAGCACCTTCTGCACTAAGGCACGTTGCTTCAGCTGTTTCTACATTCACCTTGAATGTTCTGTTTCCTCCTTGTTCATATTTCATAATTAACTTCTGATTGGAATCATACAACGTCAGAAGATTGTTTTTCATAACAACTGAAAAACCTTTCTCAATCAGCTGACCTACGCTCATCAGATTGCTTATAATACCAGGAACATACCAGACGTCTTTGATCAGAATGTCTTTCCCATTCTTCACTCTAATTCTGACATCTCCCATACCTTCTGCATTAAGATACTTATCGTCAGCACATCTGATCTTTGTACTCCTTCTGGAGTCAAAGTCTGTCAGCCATTGTTTGTTTCCAGTTAAATGATTTGAGCAGCCAGTGTCCATATACCACCAATCTTCTGAGAATTTTCCATCAGAGTCAGAGGCCATTAGCAGTACAGGTTCATCATCATAGTTTCTCTTAGCCATATATGCTTCTTCTGATTTCCTATCCCTGTTTGACCTACAATCTCTGGCAAAATGGCCCAATTGTTTACAGGAGTAACATTGAACCTTCCTTTTGTCATACCTCTCTTTTCCTTTATGATACTTCTTATCATCAGAGGTTGAGGCTTCTGACTTCTGGAATCTATCACCACGTCTATTCTGCTTCTGGTCTTTCTTGACAAAAGAAGCCTTCAGAGCTTGCTCACCTTCTCTCTCAGAAGTTCTCTCAGACAGACGTAACTCCTGTGCTTCTAAGCTGCTTTGTAATTCTTCTATTTTCATGGTTTCCAGATTTTTAGAATGTTCAATAGAAACAACAATGTAATCAAACTGAGGAGTGAGCGACCTCAGAATCTTCTCTATGATTACCTGTTCAGTCAGAGTTTCTCCACACGCCTTCATCTCGTTAGTGATCAGAATCACTCTGGAGATATATTCAGAAACTTTCTCACTGCTCTTCATGTTCAGGTTCTCATATTGCTTTCGTAGGGATTGAAGCTTCACCTTCTTTACTGATGCGTCACCACCGTAACATCTCGTCAGTAAATCCCACGCCCCTTTAGACGTTGTTGAATCAACAATCTTCTCGAACACATTTTCATCCACACACTGATGGATATAGAACAAAGCTTTCTGGTCCCTCTTTCTCATCAACCTCTCAGCAGTTCTCTGTTCTTCAGTTGCATCTACTGCAGTTGGTACATAACCATCTGTAACCAGATCCAGAACATCTTGTGCACCGAATAGTACACGCATTTGTATCATCCATCTGTTCTAGTTTTTGCCATTAAAAACTGGAAGTTTAGTGTTCAAACTACCGTCTCCACTCATTTTAAACCTTGCACGGATTTTCAGAGCTTAAACACACTGTTTCCCAACCCACAG